ATCCCAGTACCTACAACTCCAAAATGTCCAGACCAATTCCCCTCAAAACTTACCAGTATTCAAATTTGGGCATATCTAGGTATGCATGCCAAGTTTGGTCCAGATACATCATTATCTGGATTCATAGTGTGCTCTGGAAGTAGGTGAAGTACAACTCCTATAAATCCCTCCAAAGACGTCCAGTATTTTTGTTAGTCACGGGATTTCTATGTGCCAAGTTAGTTCCAGGTCCATCGTTGGTGGAATTCAGATTGCTCTTAGATTACAGGGGAACTATACATCCCAGTACCTACAACTCCTATAAATCATGGTGAATTCTCCACAACCCTCTCTAGTATGTTCTGATCAATTCATCTGTTTGCTGTGTGCCAAAGAAAAGAATAGGAAAGGGAGATGCAAATCCCACACTAATGGAAAGACTCAGAAACACTGGGGTGACTGTGGTTGAGGAAACATGTAAAATCTAGAATGAAATTGTCCCCATATGAAAGCCTTTACTTGGGTGGTGGGCAGTATTGTGTTTGTGGAGGACATTGGCCGGGCTCTTGTACATGTCCGTGGTACTCACTATAACCTGCAATGTCATTGGAGGGAGGGCCTTTAGTGTCTCCTGAACAGTGGGAGCTATAGCTGTTTGTGAAGGCAGAAGCTTGTCTGTGTAAATGGATATCCCAGCCACACACACATAAATCTTTTCACTTTTATTATGTGTATAGATGTTAAAACATGCATGTTTTTCTATTTAAATGTTTAAAACATATTTTCACGCCTTCTCTTATTTTCAATGAGCAGGACCAATATTTTAAAATAAAGAAATTGGAGCAAAACTTCTTTTAAAAAGTAGTGGCAAATCTGAGAGTAAGGTGGAGAAATAATCTTAAAGTCAAAACACGGTAGCTGGAGTCTAGACGCTTCTAATTTTAGACGTGGAAAGCATATAGCCTAAGGCCTTTCAAATCAACATATTTTCAACAATTTCTCTACCAAATTGTGATTAAACTGTTTTTCTAAACAGAAAAAAGCCCATCATCTGAGGACTGCCTGGGGTTCTTGTGAAGTACCTGCAAATTCTCCAATTTCCTTGAGGTGAAGAATGAAACAATGAAACAAAATACGTTTTTGCAAAGTATTCCACAACTTGGACTGCTCCAAAATAGTCCCACATGGATGAAACATCCTGGGATCCACTACACTGTTTTAGGATTTTTTTTCCTCTTAAATCTCTGGCTGTAAAATGAACCACTTAACACAACGTGTATGAACCGAATAAATTGCCTAAAGTCACGCAAAGCAGATTTAATAACAAATAATTCTCACTTGATATGCACACACACGAGAAATTAAATGTTTATCTTAGCTGTAGCTCTAGGGAAAGGATGACAGATACTCTCCACTCCTATAACCAGAAGCAATGACAGCAAGTAACCAGTTGCTTAAAAGAAGCAGATGAATCCTGGCAGTAACATCACAAGACTTATTGCTTAAAAACAGAGCTTTTGGCAAAAACAAAAATGACAACCTCCAGAGCTAGCACTGAATGCTCTTAATAAGCAGCAATAATAGTTAACCACAAGGCCCACTGGATTCATTCACCTGCTGCAAATATGCCATTTGTTTGTAACTGGATTTGATGCTGCAAGTTGTTTGTAACTGGATTTGATGCTGCAAGACACAGTGAAGACATCTGTCCTTGCGCTTTGCTACTCTGCTGCTAAGTACGCATGCCCAGTGTGGAATGCATCTCACTACATTAAAACAGTGGCTGTGGCTCTTAATGAGACATGCCGCATTATCGCAGGATGTCTACACCCCACACCACTGGAGAAATTACAGTTTTTAGCTGGTATCGCACCACTTGACATCTGCGGGGAAGTCGCAGCCAGCAACAAAAGGACCGAGGCATTGACATCTCCAGCCCATCCTCTGTTCGGATATCAGCCAACATGCCAATGCCTTAAATGAAGAAACAGTTTCCTAAGATCTACAGACATACTCGCATGAACACCTCAGTGAGCAAGAGTCCAAAAGTGGCAGGCTAAAACCCAGCACCTAAATTAGTGGCTGAGACTAGATGGGAAACTCCCTTCTGGGCACACAGAAGAGTGGACAACCTGGAAGGCGCTGAACATACTGCCCTCTGGCACCATGAGATACAGAGCTAATCTTATGAAATGGGGCCACAAAGTGGAGTCCATGACATGCGAGCGGGGAGAAGAGCAAACCACAGACCACCTATTTCAATGCAACCTGAGCCCTGCCACATGTACCTTCTCACAGAGGCACCCCAAGTGGCCAGCTTCTGGTAATTTAGCATAATGCCAAGTTCTTTTTAAAAACTTTGTTGTGTTTTTAAATGCATTTTAACTGTACCCTCAACTGGCTTCTGACACAATAAATAAATAACTGGATTTGATTTTATATAACAATTTACCCTAGCAGGCAGGCCCGTAGCCAGGATTTTGACTGGGGGAGGGGTGGCTAAATTTGATTCGGAGGGAGGGGGGCTGAGTCTGAGTGAAAGAGGGTCTACCCTAGTAAACCTTTTGTATTGTTACCCCAATAACCCCATGCATATGGGATATATTGAGTATGGTGATCAGATCATGATATGAATAAACATAACAGTTTCAATAATGCACTAGTAAGGCCTTCTCGCGGGCCACCATGAGAATTTCAGGGGGGGGGGCTGAAGCCCCCAAAGCAGCCCCCCCCCCCCGGCTACATGCCTGCTAGCAGGGATCAGTATCAATATCAGTGTTCCATGACCTGTTAGGTTCACATAACAGGAATGAATAATGTCTATTTTTTTAGTATGATGCAACAATACAGATGTCCTAGCCTTCTTTGATACAGTTTCCATCTTAATTTCAGTGAATCTAGGCATTGGAAGTTGGGGATTATTTATTATTTATTTCCAACATTTCTACCCCGCCCGTCTCAACCCCCGAAGGGGGACTCAGGGTGGCTTCCAATCAGCAGCAATTTGATGCCGCAACATACTAACAAATATAAACAACTATCACAACATTTTAAAGTGATGACTAAAATATTAAGTTAAAAACAAATTAAAAAGATCACTGTCAAACCATATAACCATTTCAGTCTGATTCAACATCCAAAGCGCTGTCATAACTGCTGTCCAAAAGCCTGGTCCCAGAACCATGATTTAAGCTTCTTCCTAAAAGAAAGGAGGGATGAAGCCAACTAATCTTGCTGGGGAGTGAATTCCACAGGTGTGGGGCCACCATCAAGAAGGCCCTGTCCCTCATCCCCGCCAAACGCGATTGTGATACTGGTGGGACTGAGAGCAAGGCCTACCCAGACGATCTTAAACTGCAAAGCGGAACATAGAGGGAGATATGTTCGGACACGTAAGCTGGGCCAGAACCGTATAGGGCTTTATAGGTCAAGACCAGCACTTTGAATTGTGCTCAGAAGTGGACCAGCAGCCGGTGGAGCTGACACAACAGGGGGGTGGTATTCTCCCTATATGTTGCACCCGTGAGTATTCTGGCTGCCACCTGTTGGACTAGTTGAAGTTTCTGAACAGTCTTAAAATGCAATCGCATGTAGAGTGAGTTGCAGGAATATATTTGGGATGTAACAAGAGCGTGGACCACTGTGGACAAATCAGACTTCCCAAGTTATGAGCACAGTTTAAACTGTGCAAAAGCTCCCCTGGCCACCGCCGAAACCTGGGCTTCCAGGCTCAGCGCTGAATCCAGGATCACTCCCAAGCTGCAAACCTGTGTCTTCAGGGAGAGTGTAACCCCATCCAACACAGGCTGTAACCCTATGCCCTGTTCGGCCTTACGACTGACCAGGAGGACCTCTGTCTTGTCTGGATTCAATTTTGTTAGATCTCATTCAGTCTGACATGGCTGCCAAGCACCCGTTCAAAGTTTGAACAGCCTCCTTCCGCCTTAACAGGTGGAAAGGAGTAACAGATTTGGACGTCATCTGCATACAGATAATATTGTACTCCAAAACTCCAGATGATCTCCCCCAGTGGCTTCATGTAGATGTTAAACCTCGAGAATACTGTACCCTGAGGGATTCCACATGACAATGGTTGTGGAGTTGAACAGGTGTCACCCAATAACATCTTCTGGGACAGTCCCTCCAGGAAGGACCGGAGCCACTGCAAAGCAGTACCTTCAAGTCCCATACCTGTAAGGTGTCCCAGAAGGATACAGTGGTCAATGGTATTGAAGGCCACTGAGAGGTCCAGCAGAACCAACAGGGACACACTCTCCCTGTCTAGCTCCCGGTGTACTAAGGTGACCAAGGCTGTTTCAGTTCCATGTCCCTGTCTAAAACCAGACTGTGCTGGATCTAGATAATTGGTGTCTACCAAGAACCCTTGGAGTTGTGAAACCACTACACATTCCATGACTTGGCCCAAACAGGGGAGATTAGAAACTGGCCAATAGTTGACTAATTGAGTAGGGTTCAGTGATGTTTTTTTCAACAGCAGTTTTACAACAGCCTGTTTTAGGCTGGCTGGAATCTTGCCCTCCTGTAAGAAGGCATTAACCACCACTTTAACCCACTCTGCCAAACCCCCTCTGGCTTCTTTGATGATCCAATATAATTATCACCAGTATTTATTCGTATTTCCTAAACTTAGCATTGTAGATCTCGTAAGGCACAGAAATCACAGTATCCTGTTGGTTTCAGGCAGCTCAAAGAGCCTCCCCCCTGTACCTGATCTTTGTGCCTATAGGCTTGTGTTACTAATTTAATATCAATGGATTTAAGACCAAATGAAGAATTTTCTCCCCTTGATGCATTGCTGTAAAATCTGATAAAGGAAGTGGGGAAAAATATTAAAAACCACACAATGAAGATGAGATAATAAATTTTAAGCTGATTACCAGTGTGATTTCCCAAATATTCAGAGAACTGAACATTTGGTACACATGCAGTGACTTCAAGAGTATTACCTGTAAAAATCTCCAGGCGCTTGTAGAATAAAATACTATGCAAGACACTTGAAAAACTTTTTATCAGCATGCTTTATTGTTTGAAAGAATTGGTTGTGCAACAAGTCTTGTGACTAAAATAGTCAATTGCAAAGGCACTGAAATATACTTGTATTAGAAATACACGTACAAAGGACACTGATTCCTTACAAAAGTGGATCTCAAAAATAACAAAATAGATACCTTCAAATATGTTTTTTTTTAGTTTATAATCATAATAAGTCATTTTAGAGATGGAACAAAATGTAGGTATTGAGTAAACCCGGTCAGGAAAGGAAATGTGGTGAAATGGAAAGCTGTATCTTTCTTTAATAATTGTAAGCAAGTCCCTAGGTTTTCCACTCAGATTTAATAAATTCTACCTTGCATAGCCAGGAAGCAAAACAAGACTCAATCAACTCATTACACAATAAATTAATTGACTCAGTAAAAATACAGAACCTTTCTGACTAAACACGCTCAGAGAATTAACTGTATTTGTTTTGCCATACAGACCCTTTGTGCTGCCTGTTTTTCCCCAGAGGCAATGGTTTGTAGATTATTACTGATTATTACAAATGAAAAAGCAAGCTGTGGGGAACATTTATTGCTGCTTCATCTTAGGGACATACAAACACGGCCCATTTCAGGACTTTAAAAGGCAACTGGTGATGAAGCCATAAAGGTATATGATGATGATTAGGGGAGTGATGAAGTACTTTGGCCACATAATGAGAAGACAGGAAAGCTTGGAAAAGATAATGATGCTGGGGAAAAAGGAAGGAAAAAGGAAGAGGGGCCAACCAAGGGCAAGATGGATGAATGGTATCCTTGAAGTGGTTGGCTTGACCTTGAAGGAGCTGGGGGTGGCCACAGTTGACAGGGAGCTCTGGCGTGGGTTGGTCCATGATGTCACAAAGAGTTGGAAGCAACTGAACAAATAAACAACAAAGTGATCCTTCCATTTCAAATATCTGCATAATTTGTTTAATGGGGGTTGTTGTCACAATGGTATCCAGATGCTCTTGGTATCTATTAGTTTCTAAGATATAGAAAAAAATACAGCTGCTGTTTTGCTCTCAATTTTGAAGTACTAAATCATTTCAGGAAATGATATATGAGCTGATGCAAAAAGCAGTAAATTAAATATGGCTGCATGTTTGAAAATATTGAAGTAATTCACTGGTGCCTTCCTTGCAGATGTGAAATTTAACTTCTAATGCAAATCAGTCTTATGCTTTCTGTATGGAATGCTTCTTTAAAACCCAGACTTTCAAAATGCAACTAAATAATTATTGACCTTATTAGAGGGAAGACTGAAACTGCTCGATGTTCTAAAAATACAGTAAAACATTACCTGACCTCTGATCCCAGTATACCAGAATGTCATCCTGAGGGAGCTAGAAATTCCTAGAGACATCCTCTCAAAACATGCTAGGTTCTCCAAGACAACTCCACGTTAACTTCCTGGGGAAGCATTCCATAGAATTGCCTGGAGGATCTAGCAAATACTTGGAGACATTTTTCCCCATGGAAGGGTAACTGACATAGTGAATATGGATTCTACAGTTACAAGGGTCTTACTGTAGGAAAATCTAAACCAATTATGTTTAAAATATGTTGAGCCCATTCCTCCATTGAAGATTAGAAGAATCCGACAAGGCACAAAACACTTAATGGCAGTCAGAGCTCAGCAAATCGCAGATGGCAAAGCAAAAGGGGAGGAGTACAAACAACTTTGCAATGATATTCAAAAGAGACCACATCCGAACAATGATGAATATCAGATTATGCAATTAAGAAAGGCTGCAGAGAATAAGCAAAGTCTTTTAAAAGAGGGAAAGCAGATGAAAATGAAGAAAAAACTACCAATTGCACTAAAAATGAAAACAGAATGCAAGTAACAAATAGGTTGGAAATGAAGCAAATATGCGAAGACTTCTTAACAACTTACATGATTCCAAAGTGCAGATAGTTGAAGTCAAACCACATGTTACAATGGCAGAAATCCCAATAGTATTGAGGTAGATGCAGCCATACGTAAAATGGAGCCAGATAAATGCCCAAGAAAGGACAAGATAAGAATAGGACACCTAAAAGAGGGAGGTTATAATCTTCAAAAGGCGATTGCAGAATGTTTTATGCAATACTTGCAAAGTGCCAGCTCACCTAACAATTGGACAACCATACTTCTGAATGAAGGGCTCTTCCACACAGCCCTATATTTCAGAATATCAAGGCAGAAACTCCCACAATATCTGCTTTGAACTGGGTTATCACAGTCCACACTCAGGTAATGTGGGATTTCCTGCCTTGATATTCTGGGATATAGGGCTGTGTGGAAGGCCCCGAAGAAAGCAGACAAAGAAAACCTTAGCAACCATCATCCTGTTACACTCCTCTCTCAACTATATGAATGGTTCACAAAGATCCTGCTACAAAAAATATCTCAAGATGCGGAAATCAATAGAGAACAAGCGGGCTTCAGACATGGCTACTCCACCCTTGATCATATCCACGCAAACAGCTACTGGAAAAAAGCAGAGAATATCGAGTTCTGTTTTGTCTTGCTTTCGTTGATTACCAAAAGGCCTTCGGTTCAGTTGAGATAAATGCTATCCTTAATGCTCTGTACCAAGCCGGTGTATAATCAGCGTATGTGAACATCATAAGCATCATAAAAAGCATCAATACAGGGTGCACAACAGATATCAAACTGTTGTCTAGAGTGTGTCATGTCAGAATAAACAAAGGAGTGCATCAAAGAGATACAATATCACCAAAACAAAGTTTGCGGCAACTTTAGAAAGCCCCTTCCAAAAAATTAAATTTAAAGGCGGGATTTCAATTGATGGCAAACAACTTTCTCATTGCCTCTTTGCAGATGATTGCGTCCTTTTCACCAAAAATCCAGAAGATTTACAACATGATCTCCAACAAGTAGTGGGGCTCTCAAAATCAGCAGAACTGGAAATAACTTGAAGAAAACAAAATGAGGAGTGTGTCCAGGGCTGCATCATTATAAATGGAGATGAAATTGAGGAATTGACTTAATATGTATATCTTGGACACCAAGTCGAATAATTTGGCAAATGGCAAATTGGCAAGAAGAAGCAAGGCTGCTTGGATGGCTTTTAATCTAAATCGGACAGTGCTAATAGATGCCAAACTGCCAATGAAGGTCAGAGCAGATATCTTCAATGCTACAGTTTTACCAGTAATGTTATATGTGTCTGAAACATGGGCAACAACAAAGTTAGAGGAGGAAAAACTGGCCTTGACTCGAAGACCAATGAAAAGAAGGATGTGTGGCATGACAGTAAGAGATAAAGTCAGCAATTAAGAACTGCGTCAAAGAACCAGGGTACGGAGTGTGGTCAATGAAATCTATGAGGCAAAAAGAAGATGGGCAGGGCATATAGCATGAACAAAAGACAACAGATGGACATGTCGACTAACCAACTGGATACCAAGAGAACCCAAGCAGCAGACCTTGTATACGATGGGAAGAACCAATGGTTAAGCTATTCAGCGAGAAAAGGAAAATAAAAGCACAGGATCGTATATTTTGGCAAATGATAGATTTGGTGAAGCCCTAAGGAGTGTATCGATGACAAATCAAATAGGATAGGATAGGACATTGATGTGGACCCACACCCTCCTTGCAAAGGCAAAAACTATTAATACTTCATTCTGTAATTTCTGGATTTCACTCTGTATCTTATTCAGGATGTGTGTATGTGCATCAGCAATTACATCTCAAAAGCAGGGGTTTAGATCTGAATCGTGTCTTTCACAATCCTTACAGAAAGTAAAGCTATTATTTAATGGAGCTGGGAAAGATTCATAGTACAGGCTTCATTTGTTGGTAGTCTCCGATTTTCAGTGTTTTTCATTTTGGTATCTATACCACTGACATCAGGATACATGAAGCCAGGATTATCTTGTCAAAACACGTTAAAACTGCACATACAGCATTCTCTCAGATACCTAACATTTTTTGTTAACATTCAAAAAGCTACAGTATCAAAATGATTCAAGTAAGTAAAATATGCTACTTCTATGACCTGATATAGCAAGATCTGTCTGGCTCTCCCAACAGGAAGATGAAACTAGGGTCTATGGCTCCCTACAGTATGGAGGGACAACCTCACCCTGGAAACAATTTATTTTAAACACAACTAAACCAATATTTACACACCTCCATAGCACAGAAGACTATTTAGAACCACTCTAAAAAGACGGCATTTTAAAAAATTAATGGATGAACCTTTTTCATCAACGTATGGAAATATACTCAGAGAACATATAAATACAGCCTTTAAGAGCCTCTTGGCAGTCAACAATGGTCATCATGAGACACAAGTGGAGTTTTTAGCTGGATTTCTCTCTCACAGAAGTTTACAATAACATACAAGTTTTCCACAGGGTTCAGAAAGGCATTTAGGTTTTAAATGTATTTGTGATATTCACACCTTTTTGTCATTTTTACCGAACATTCAGAAATAGATCTTTTAAAGAGGTAGTAACAGGAAAAGTATTTGGTAGCATGTTCACAACCAGTAATTCACAACATTTACTTGACCTTTCCCCAAGTTACAGTGTTGATCCTGAAAAAGGGATGCCACAAAAACAGAATGAGGGGAGAATATCTGCTTAGCCTCAGGAAGATTAGGGATAGAGAAATGCCAAGGGTTTGGGTGCCATATTGGCAGAAAGCTAAAGGACCATACATCCACACAGATTGTTTAGATTTGGTTTTCAGTTCTTTAAACTCAAAATACCCTCTTCATGTCGCAATTTCACTCCGTTCATCCTCCTATCCTACCCTAGGACCCAGGAGAAGCCTTTATTTATCAAGGAAGTAAACTGGAACTCAGCTTTTCATTTACTTGCCTAATAAGTAAGGGCTTCTCTTGGGGAAAAAAGTGTTTTGAGTTTTGGAAAAATAAAGTAATAAATAACTGAGAGGAGGTAGGGGAAAATGTGCAGGCTGATTTCCTGGTGACCTTTTTTTTAAAAAAATAGTTATCAGCTGGCATCCTATTACTGGCATATATTTGTAAGTCCACCTTATGGCTGAGCATGTATTGTTGGATTTTTTGGTCATTGTGGGGCTTAGTAACTACTTCCACCTTCTGCAACATTCAAAGCCCCTCCAGGGCTCACCATTGGACTATGACAAAATAACAATACACTGCTATTTCCTTGCTGGTAGATAAGATGGGATTTTATAGTGAGACACAGACTAATGACACTGTCTACTAGGATCTTCGTAGGACCCAACAAATCTCTACGGAAGACATCCTTGGTGTTTTGTTGTAGTGGAGTCCTACATGAGGAACTCTTACACTATGCTCAAATATGTAGGATTGTGGCTACAATTGGTTACGATTGACTCTCCTAAAAGTATGCAGGCTGCCATACTTCACCTCCTGTACATATAGTAGTATATTGCTGAGTATATGAGCCTGAAATACAATCTTGGTGGCACGCTTTTAATGATTGTTTTCTATCAAACTAAAGATAAAAATGACATGTTTTAGTAAAAAAAAAAAAAGTAACCTTGGCCTCACTCATTTTTTGAACGAAATCTTTTGTATAGGCATTTAAAAAGTGTGATATGAAGATGACACTAATACAGCTCAGGATTCATAAATATACATTCTTTGAGCAAAGTAACATTCATTTCCCAAATTTGCTTCTGTCTGCAAAGCACGAAAAATACATTCTTTATTTCCCACCTGGGAAAATACATTGCAAAAGTCAAAGGTGTCTAGTACCATTGGCTTACATATACCAATGGGCAGCGCCTGAAAGAATTGTTTTCCAAACATTACTTTCCCAGCCTTGGAGTCACAATTCCAAGTTCTGTTAACAAGACCACAACAGTCAAATGGGCAGATAGATTAATGTGTCTGATGCCTTTCAGTTTGGTCTATATTGCTAGGGACCTATAATGAACCTCATGTGATCAAAAGAGAGTCACAAAAGCAGGGACAACTTTTGTGATCGTGGGATATCAGTACAGTTTACTTGACGTTTGGCAAGGCACATTGACAAGTTATCCCATAGGCCTCTGGATTAGGTTTAAGCTAAGCATGGAAATCTTTTCCCCCCTACTAGTTACCACACTAGCTGGGTGATGCTGGAAAATGTAGTCCACAATTTAATGCTGTGGACCTGAGACACCTTCCACCAGGGCAATGTCACAACAGGTAGTGAGGTCATTGGTCAATCCTGACTATGGCCAAAAGCCATTTTTATACAGCAGCAGGACTTAGCACCAGTTCCAACTGTGCCTAATACACTGTCTTAAAAGCAATGTTTAAGCAGCTATGTTTAATCTTTTGAATGATTCAAGAGCATTTATTTATTTATTTATTTGCCATATTTGTACTCCACCCTTCTGTATCCTAACAGGGGGACTCAAGGTGGCTTGAATTATGAAGAACAGAGTCTTACAGTGTAGTCTTTCTTTGTGAAGGCACTTTAAAAACAAGGGAAGAGATCAGGATTGCCCAGCCTCATTGGCCCAGTAGAGAGCCCAGTTGCTGCATTGAACCTTTAAAAAAAAAACTACGCTTAAAACATACTGCATTTTTTTTAAAAAAACTGAACAACATTGCATGGTCAACATAACTGGGGCATGATTTTTTTTCAGAGTAACAAGTAATTATTCAGTGCAAGAACAGTATTTCTAATTAACAGTAACATTTGGTTTGTATTGCATCAATATTACATAATCCTTCCAAAAAAAATTCACTCCAGAAACCATGATCGCATGAGATCATACTGCAGTCTCAAAAATAATTAATCCTTGGGAGTCATCCACTGATTTGGTGGCTTCTTGACCACTTGGCATAACTTCAGGATAATTCTTCTTGAAATATACCTAAAACGGGTAAAAAGTCCTGTGTTAGTTTTATTAAGAGGCTTTTTCTAATGCACACCTGTCAGATGCAAAGCCCACAGGCAGAATCTGGCCCACCATGCCATTTTATATGGCTCACAAGGCCTTCAATGTCAGGGCAACATAGTTATATTTATATAAACTTGCAATTACAAATGCCCCTTTGAAGGTAACCATAAGACCAATGTGGCCCTCAGTGAAAATGGGCTTGATACCCCTGTTCTAATGTAAGTGTACACATGGAAATAAGACAGCAACTGTACATATTTCAATTTTTAATACTTTTCATTTGTAAAAAAAAAGTTGTATTACCTTTAGCTTGGCTGGAAAATTGCAACAAAACTGGGCTATGTCAACGTATGTGTCTGCCATCCCTCTCAAAGTGCTAATAATTCAGATCAGCTGATAACTTTATCATTTGACATTAAATTGATAAATAAAATCCTTTTAACCGGCTCAGAAATGGAGATAAATTAAAAACAGGGCGACAAAGCTGCTTCGAAATCTAGTGTCTGCACAAGGGCTTTTCATTTTCACACATAAAAATAAGCACAATGGATTTGGATGTTAATATCAAGGTTGTAATCCCTGCATTTTACAAACTATGATTGACAACCATTGAAACGTCAGGATGTATGTATGAAATATCCCGGCGTTTAATTTGCGCCGCGGAGGAGTCATAGAGCCTTATAGAAATGTGATCTGGGGATAGGGTGCCACAATAATGAAAAGGCAAGGGAAAGCAGTAACAATGGCTCCACCAAGCAACTTCTCTAAAATGTAAGATGATACCAAATAATAGGACAGTTCTTTGCCGAGCCTTTGAGTTCTTGAATTCTACCAATTTCTAGCTGAACTGCCAGAGATACAGGTTTCCTGATAAATGTATAATCAGAACATAAAGGAAATGAAATGCTGTCAAGTTTCACTGTTCCACAATCATCAGTTTTTAGTAGCTGTATCATATCTCTGTTCCCTGACAGATGCGTGTAACAAAATGAAATAATGTCAAGACTTGTGTGCTCTTATCGGAAAATGTGTTTGGGTGAAAAAGGACTTCAAAATGTATTTTTTTCTCCAAAGAAGAATGTGAAAAGTTTTGTTTGAGCCTTTAAACACACACACACACAAAATGCACTATCTTTCTCATGGCCGACATGTGTCATGTGCTAGGCCTAATATTCATGCAGCACTGGAAATAAGAGCATAAAGCCCATTCTTCGGTCATTTATGTCATTTTGGAATTGCTTCCAGCAAAATTATTAATAAACTGTCCTTCTCATATACAGATAAGAATCGCAATCCAAAGTGACCACTCTTATGGTGGTTTGCACATATGTAATACAGTCGAAGAATTCCCTTTTGTTGGAAGCAACAGATACAGCTGCTTTTAAATTCCTCTTGCCAACTTTTTTTTCCAGGGCTTGTTTGCCTAAAAGGGTAGTCTCTAGGCAGAAATTCAGCAGGGGACATTTTTCTTATCATCTCATCTCCATACAATCATTTGCTGCTAGATTAACATTTACCATACAAACTTTCAGACACAGAAAAACAATTTACAACTCCAGTTTTAAAAACTGAACTTGGATTTTGTGCTGATAGGTGCCTTGGAGTGAAGTTCTAAAAATCGGAGGCCCACATCTTAAGAGGCAGAAAAAACTTCTAGCTCAAAGAGAGAAGGCTGTTAGTCAAAACCAGAGTTTAGATTAGGCCTGGTCAACCTATGGCACTCCAGGTGTTTGGGCCTCCAACTTCCAGAAATACCAGCCAGGTTGTCAGGTGTTACAAATTGTGGAAGCTGAAGTCCAAAACACTTGGAGTGCCACAGATTTGCCATACCTGGTTCTGACAAATCATCTTTTGGAACAAATCCTTCAGCCAGTATGACCACTGGCTTATGTTGTCAGGGATGTTGTCCAAAAAAGTAACTTCTCAAGCTTTAGTTACAAACAATACTCTGAGGCCCCTTCTATACGAGCCTCAATCCTGGAAGGAATTTGGATATTTTATCTCACTTCCTCCCGGGATTGAGGGCCCACCTTCAACCCAAACCCAGGGCTTTCCCTGGGGCGATAGCTACATGCTCTCCCAAGGCAATCCAAAAACCTAAGTGAGAGAGCTGGTTGCATGCCCAGTCCCCTTTGCTGAAAGCTCCTGGTGTAAGGTTACCTCATTGGGAGGCTGGGGTTTCCTCCAAAGTCTGAAGCTAAGCCCTTCATGTATGTTTTTGGGGTATGGGGGGACTGGGAGGGGAGGATGGGGTGCCTCAGGTAAACACGCGACAAGTCCCACATTCTGTCTGGAAGGGCCCTAAGAGGAATTAAGTGGAACTTCACAGCTACTGGGATATCAGCATTTCTCTTAGTGGCAAGCAGAATATCAAGAATGTCGAGGAACTCACTGTGTTTTATCTTCTCTCGCACACACACACACAAATCCCAATCTTGAGTCTAGCTGTTTTCTTGCAATGGAAGCATGTCATTTTCAGCTCTGGGTATATATTACTCCAAATCCCAGTAATAAAGTATTGAAAAACTGGGGTTTATAATTGAAAAGGTCTGAAAGCTTTAACTGTAGTGGCATGGATGGGTTTTTTCTGAAGTCCTGAATATGCTAACTTGTGAAAACTAAATCACTGAGACAAACTTAATTATATTTTAGGGGTAAGGGCAGGTGGTGATAGGGAAACTGCCTTACCTGTTTTGCTGTTTCTTTTATGGATTCAGCTTCAGCTTTACCCAATTGTTGAACCATCTTGTAAAACAGGCTTTCCTTTTCTTGCAACAAAATGTATGGCTCATCATATTCTTTCAGTCGTCCTGAATCCAAAACCTGACAAATCAGCAGAAACCAGCTGGTTAGTGGCAAATGAAAATTGGCATCAGCAGCAAGGAAGAGGACAATGACAACAACATAAACATATATCTCACTTGCCACAACTTCCCAATTTCCTATTCACATTCTCTGTACAAGCTAAGAACAGAGTATTTTTATATCTGTTTTATATACCTATATACCTGGGGTCATGTAAACATTTCTCGGGTGAAAGGGTGTCATGAGTGGAAAACGTTTAAGAAACCCTGGTATTGTTGACTACTGTGAGAAGAAGGATAAAAGAAGTCAAGTGCTCAGAATAAGTGAATCCAGAAAACTATTACATTCTAAGAGAAGCTGAGTGATACATGGTTGGAACATGAGGCCTTAAAATCGTGATAAAATAAGATTTAGTTAATATATTGTTACTTACTCCGAGTCTGTGAACTCCATTCATTCAAATCATTTGTGAAATTCATGACCACCCTTTGCCTTTATGGTCACATTAACATTACTAGGGACACGTCTACATTGCCATATAATCCCATTTCTGAATCCAGATTATCTGCTTTGAACTGGATTATATGGCAGTGTAGACTCTTATACAATGTTGGGAGGAAAATTCTGAGGGTGCCTTGGATCGCAAGAAGATCAAACCAGTCCATACTCCAGGGAATAACGCCCGACTGCTCACTGGAGGGAAGGATGTTAGAGGCAAAGATGAAGTACTTTGGCCACATAATGAGAAGACAGGAAAGCTTGGAGAAGATAATGATGCTGGGGAAAATGGAAGGAAAATAGAAGAGGGGCCGACCAAGGGCAAGATGGATGGATGGATGGCATCCTTGAAGTGACTGGCTTGGCCTTGAAGGAGCTGGGATTGGCCACGGCTGACTGGGAGCTCTGGCATGGGCTGGTCCATGAGGCCATGAAGAGTTGGAAGTGACTGAATGAATAAACAACAAGAAGATTCATACAATCCAATCCAAAACCGATCACCAGGATTCAGAAACTGGATTATATGGCAGTGTAAATCCAGCCTAAGTCAGCACCTATTACTGGAAAGAAAACAAGTCAAGCTTATCCTTCAAGGTAACCCTTTAAAGGTAAAATGGACTTCTCATGCTATGGCAAACCTATGCCAGAGTTTGGATTACTACTCCCAGAATCCCCTCGCCAATATGGGCAATTATTTGCGCTCTGCTCTCAAAAAACAACACCTTGGCTGTTCAATTATTTCCAAGTCTTTTTGTTTGGCCTCACACCTCTGTCTCCTCAACCACGCTTCCTTCATCTTAATGTATATCATTACAATGTGTTTGCCTTTATACTTAACTTCCCAAATCTCTTTGTTGTCTGCTACACAGATGTCCTATTTTCTGATTAATTTTCCCTGCAAGTTTTACATTTATTAGCCATCCTGCCATTCAAAACCATTAAAAAGTTTTTAATTTTCTTTGACCTCTGAATAAAAACATTCCACATAACCAGCAAATCAGCAGTGCATGCAGATGTATGTAACTTTCAACTTTTTGTGCTTGTCTAAGAACCAGCTGCATCTTTGCCCTATCTTTTGTTCATGTTAATTATTTTAAAAAGTTTTTCTTGCAATAGAAATCTCATTTTGTATGGACTCTCTGTGATGGGTGAATTTGGTGGTGCACCCTAACTCTGACACATATTACAAGTACACAATTTATCTGCTATTAGAATGTGTTTGTGCAAATGTTTCCCTGGGATGCAATTCTAGCCATCCACATTTTTTAAAGGGGATGCATAATTTTGATTGTATTATGTGCAACACAAGACAATCCCTACAAAAGTGCACATTTCTGAAAGGAGATATTACCTGTCTCACAACAAAGCATGAAAGTTGTGAACTGGATAAACGGATTTATAATCTCAACTGTGCTGAGATTCAGTACCATCCTCACCATCAGGAAACTCACTTTCAGAAATGGGATAAACAACAGGAATTCTTCCTGCTCCCAAGTATTATACAGGCCTGTCCTGGTTAATGGACTGAACCTGAATTGCAGTCAATTTTGAAAAAGGAACATGTAATAATGAAAACTCCATATTCACTTCCATCAAGCCATTGGCTTGCTTTCATTTGCCCCCCGCAGCCTTTATAACACAATATCAGCACAATGTCAGCTTTAGTTCCTGTTGCTGTCAAGCTACTATACAAGAGAGGGAGACAATATCACTGGAGTCACAGGATGGAGAAAATGGTTTGAGTAATAATAGGGGAATAAACTCTATATGAGCCGAGTTACCAGGCCATCCCTCCTTCTCCAACATCCCCAATTCCATAAGTGAGATAACCAAGGCTGAGATAACCAGACTCAGAGGATGAAGTTTGTAACACGTATCAAGAAACAGGAAAGCAGTTAAAGAAGCTGAAGATGTTTCAGGCAAATCGTATTACTGCTTTGCCCTAGTCCTTATCACACAAAAAAGAGAGAGAAATAGGCATTATGCCGCTTCTAACAAATCAAGGTGCCTTGAGAACTCTAAGGTGGAAGTAGTACAAAAGCCAACTGAAACATTAAAAAATGCCTAAGGGTATTAGGGGAAAAAAGAGGACTAGAAAACAACATGGCTCATGTCATATGCATTCTGAGCCACTAAGTTTTATGGATGCATTTAATCACATATGTAGAAAGATACATACACAGAGATACCCTCCCTTTATATATATGCAAACAGATGATATAGAGACATGTGATATTGATTATGGCATTGAATGTTTGCCTTTTTTGTATGTAAACCACCACGAGTCCCCTCAGGGAGAGAGGGTGGTCTATAAATAATGCATTTCTTATTTAATGTATTGTTGGAGGCTTTCATGGCCGGAATCACTAGGTTGTTGTAGGTTTTTCGGGCTATATGGCCATGTTCTAGCATTCTCTCCTGGCGTTTTGCCTGCATCTATGGCAGACATCCTCAAAATATTTCGTATTTATCATTATTATCTGAGATATGATATGGATATTGTTTCTGAGCTGTTAGTAAGTTTTGCCTATTACTTATGGGTATGTCAAATTTTCCCCCTCCAGATGAAGAAAATATCTGATACAGCCAGTCCTGGATATTTGCTAGTGTTAGGGACACAGGATGGCCACCAGAGGTGAAAAACTTCCAATTTAAAAAAATGATTAAAAAAAAAACCTGAGGGAACACTTCTCCATGAATATCTAGGTCTGGCAACATGACTCTACGGCTCCATGATCAACATCTGGCAGAAATATCTGGACCATAGATCTGTACTAGAGATTCCTAGAAAACAATCAAATTCCCAAAAGTAAAAACTAAAATGAGAAAGACAAATGTAATTCTGCATACCTTTGAACTTTTTACATGTCATGGAGCAAATAATGTGATATACAAATTAACAGCATCAAGAAGTTTGGAGCAAAGGACTTTCAAAACAACTGTATATCGTATCGCTCTAAGTCAGAGCATAAAACTTAGAACTTCCTCCTGTATAATTTTATGTCCTAGTTCTTCTAAAGTGTTGATTCAAAACAGGAGTATGAGAAGGGGTGAATTTGAATGCATGGGCTAGGAACTGAACCATCTGGTACCCAAAAATTATGTTCAGCAAATGTCACCACGGCTCCTTTTTCTTATGAAGTTACACAGCAGCGGATTACAAGTGTTAAGTTCATTGTACTTTATTTACCATAGTTAATTATAACTGTAGCCCCTTTCTTAAGAGAGTAAGGATAATTGAATCTTTCATATCCACAGTATCAGCACAATCACCATGTCCTATAATTTGGCTTTCCAGTTTGGAAGCATTGAATGTATAATTTCTAACGACGTATAGGCTTCTATTGTCTAACCGCTCTTCTTGAAATGAACAGAGGAAATATCTAGTCTATAAATACAGGCTCTGTCTTCTTCTGAGAAGAGCAATACAAATGCAAACTTTTTTGCTTTGCACAAAATAAACCATGACACAGTCTCATTTAGTGCTGACTGGTGTCTATTGTGGTTTGTGGGGTGGGACGGGAGAGGGAGAATCTGAAATGCATAAGAACATGGGAAGCTGCCTTATACAATGTCAGGACCATCCTGCTACATACTAGCAGTGGCTTTCCAAGGTTTCCAACAGGCGATATAAACACTTGAACCTGGAACCAGAAGTACATAAAGCATGCACATTACCACCAATCTGTTTCCTCTTCTTTAACACTGCTGTTGTTGCTTGGCTATTCTGACATGGCAATCCTAAGGCAAATGCATGATGAGGTTTTACTACAGAGTTGTTCAGGAGGAGGTCGCCTTTGCCTTCCTCTAAGATTGAGAGATATGACTTGTCCAAGATCACCCAGTGGGTTCTCATGGCCAATGGGAATTCAAGTCCTGTTCTCCAAAGTTACAATCCAACACTCAAACCGCTACACTCTGCAAGCTCTATGACATGCAAAAGTATTTATTTACTGTTCAGGGTAAAATCCTTCTTATACATATCTGAGGGCTCAGCTTCTCTTATACTTCAAAGCAAATGAAAACCAGCTTCACAATCTCCAACTCTCTTACATTCACATACATACACAAAACACCAGTTATCTATCTTCATTCAATCTGTCATCCCTCCCTCTGAAGTATGCAATCTCATCCTTGCTTATATAGGAATAAGTCCCCACTCTAAGCATGTTTCCAATGAATATTTGATTACCAATATGGTTCCTCACACACTCTAACAATGCTTAATCTTTTCTGGGGGCAAAAGTCGGGGTAGGCAACCACTTGGGGTTGTGAGTGGCAACTCCTCTACCTGCCCTTACAGAGAAACCAGTCCTCTTCTGACTTCATACATTTGCTTCTTAGCCAACCTCTCTTCACACAGGGCTAAATTTGGCGGCAAGCACTGATTTAGCCCCAGTCACCCACTGAACTGACAGGCTCCCATCAGATGATGCTGGTGTGGCTCTGTGAGTGAAGAAAGGAGGAGCTGGCACATGCCACCACCAGGGCAACACAGGAGGGCTCCCGTGTTGCCACTA